ACTTAATCTTTAAAAATTACTGATACTTACTACTAATAACTGAATGGGATATTACAGTTGGTCGCCTGAAGGGCCCACCGCGAGTGACAATGATGCTCGACGATGGTGATTGGTGACGAAGGTGATGATCGAGATGGAGGACGATGATGTTGCTGGCCTGTGCGAATCGGGACAGCAAGCTCGCCGGAGATTATGGTGATGAAGGAGGAAGATGATTATGGTGGTGTCGAGAGTGAAGATGGGTGGCAGTGATGATGATTGGTTTGACGAGAGAAAAGATTTCTCTGCTACTGTTGACGAGAGAACGAAACGGAAGAAAAAGAAAATCTTTGGGCTGCGGGAATATTTTCTGTGTGCTGAGGGTTTGGAACAACTATATAAATACATATAATTTTGGTTTAAGTAATTGCTTGGTCCACAAGCTAATTACCCACACAAGGCGCACACTCGAAGGAGAAAGTCGGGTCAGCTTAGCTGGCCGGTTCGGCTCGCGGGTTCAACACTTAGAACAAATTCTCGGGCTCGGTTTAATCGCGCGACAATTAAAATGATAATCGAATAAATAAATATATACATAATACATATATTAATATTGTTTAATAATACACATTAAGCATATTTAATTAAATATAATATTTAGGTAATTTGACAATTAAACACATAATAATAATAACAATAATAAAATGGGCAAATAATAATAAAATATATCAATAAAGATCCCAAATAATTCTTGTTCAAACGGGCGTTACAGTCTACACACCTTACAAAGAATTCCGTTATCGGAATTCGAAAATAAAAATCTAGAAAGCGATAAAATACAAAAGGGAACTCAAAACTCAAAGTTCGGGTAACGCCTCCTAATATCCTCCTCCCTCTCCCAAGTCGCCTCGGACTTATCGTGTCGGCTCCAGCGCACCTTCATCAAACTCACTATTCGGTTCCTCAGCTGGTGGACCTTCTGGTCCAAAATAGCTGCCGGTAACTCCTCATAGGTAAGGTCTCGCTCGACCTGCAGTTCGCCGAAGTCCACCACATGATTAGGATCATGCACATATCTTTGAAGCATCAAGACATGAAATACATCGTGCACTCCCGACAAGTCTGGTGGTAAAGCTAGCCGGTACGCCAAGTCCCCGACACGAGCTAGGATCTCAAACGACCCGATATAGCGAGGTCTCAGTATCCCCTTCTTCCCGAAGCGAATCACGCCTCTCATGCGTGAAACCTTCAAGAAGACATGATCTCCAACTGCATACACATGCTCTTGCCTCTTCCGGTCAGCATAGACCTTCTGCCTCTCCTGGGCAGCCCTGATGGTCTTCCGGATCTCCTCGACTATCGCCGTAGTACTCTGGACAAACTCCGGACCCATAATACTCCTCTCTCCAACCTCATCCCAATACAAAGGAGTCCGGACCTTACGTCCGTAGAAAGCCTCGTATGGGGCCATCTTGATCGAAGAGTGGTAGCTGTTGTTGTAGGTCAGCTCGACTAGCGGAAGGGCATACCCGCAGCCCTCAATATATCCTCCAAGTACTGGATCGTACGCTCCGACTGACCACCTGTCTCGAGGTGAAAGGCTGTACTGAACTCCAACCTCGTCCCCATGGCTCGGTGCAACATCTTCCAGAACTGGCATGTGAATTTAGGATCTCAATAAGAAACAATCTCCACGGGCACCTTATGAAACTTTACAATATCAGCCACAAACAACTCGACATAATCACTAGCCATCATAGTCGTCCGGACTGGTAGAAAATGAGCAGACTTCGTAAGGAGATCCACAATCACTCAAATTGAGTCATGCCCGGCCCTCGACCTCGGCAATCTCACCAAGAAATCCATGGTGATGCACTCCTATTTCCACATGGGATCCTCAAGGTGTTGCTGAAGTAGACTCTATTGCCTCTAACTCTAGTTGCTCAAACTCCCGAAGAAGGACATCTTGCTCGGTGAATAAGCAAGACAGCTGGCCATAACTCCTCCGACTAAGAGCATCGACTACCACGTTAGCTTTCCCAGGATGGTAGCTAATAGTGCAGTCGTAATCCTTGACCAGCTCCAACCACCTACGCTGCCATATGTTCAGCTCCTTCTGAGTGAAAATGCACTTTAGGCTCTTGTGGTCGGTAAATATCTCACACTTGCCTCCATAGAGGTAGTGCCGCCAAATCTTCAAGGCGTGGACAACTGCAGCTAACTCGAGATCATGAGTGGCGTAGTTCTGCTTGTGAGGCTTCAGCTGCCTCGAAGCATAGGCTACGACTCTCCTCTGCTGCATGAGAACACATCCCAAACCCATCTTCGAAGCATCACTATAGATGGTGAAGTCCATAGTAGGGTCGGGTATGGATAGGACATACGCAGTAGTGAGTCTCCTCTTCAACTCTTGGAAACTCTCCTCACTCTTAGGACTCTAATCGAATCGAGTTGTCCAGTATTCACAATGTATTCCATGCATCCATGTTACGTAAGTACGTGTGCGACCCCGATCATGTCATTCCTCATACCGATATCCAGATTCAGCCAGATCTATCTTACGAGGAGCGACCGGTAGCTGTACTGGACCGACAGGTTTGCCGACTCCAGAAGCGTGATGTTCCCCTCGTTCGTATTCAGTGGGATCGCCACGAAGCCACTTGGGAGCAGGAGGCTGATATTCACGCTCGTTTCACCGATTTCCAATTTTGATGTACATATTTCTTATGTTTTACGTATATATGTTCCGGTTTATATTTCTGAGGACGGAAATATTTTAAGGAGGGCAGATTGTAATAACCCAGTATGTTCAGACGACCTTAGTCAACCTGTCGACCACGACCCAAATAGCATCATGATGTTCAGACGACCTCAATAACCCCGTGACAAAATCCATCGTGACTTTCTCCCAATTCCACTTGGGAATCGATAGTGGTTGCAGGAGGCCTATGGGACTTTTTTGTTCGGCTTTGACTTGCTTACAGGTTAAACAATTCCTCACAAAGTCGGCTACGTCCTTCTTCATCCCTCGCCACCAGAACAACCCTTTTAGGTCATGATATATCTTCGTACTCCCTGGATGGGCTAAATAAGGTGGGGTATGAGCTTCTGTCAATATATTCTTCCGCAACGCCTCGACTTTTGGAACCAAAATCCTGTCTCGAAACTCTAAGGCCCCATCGGTGCCTCGATGAAAACCCTCAACGCCTCCGGCGTGGACTTTGGCATCAATAACATGAACAAATTCGTCAGAAGCCTGCTCCTGCCGGATCCTTTCTCTCAGAGTCGGCTGAATCTACAT